AAATTTTTCCGGCATAAAACGAATGAAGCCCAGTAAGGGTCAACGACCGGATAACATAAATACATCCGACGTGATACCGGATAAGTCCTAACAGGACAAACGATCAAACTATATGGAACTGCCCGACGAAAGGCGTTCGTTGGCGAAACAACAAACATTCGAAACGCACAAAATAAAGTGAGAGTTCAATCGAAATCAACATTCATTCGGGCAATACCAAAACAAAGAAATAGTNATATATATTAGTTTATGTATAAATACATTATGATATTATTATAATCTAATATGGATTAAAAATAATATATTTTAAAAAAAATTTAAAAAAAAAAACCAATGACCACTTGATAAAAATAACTATGCTTATTATTGGTGATATTTCTGAAATATCTAAATTTTGACACAATAAAATTCATCAATCTGGTTAATAACAAATTGCAAACTTATCAAATTTTATATATTTTTATTTTCTTTTCAGCTAAAATTTATTTTAAAAAAAAAAAATAGAAAGAGAGAGAGAGAGAGAGGAGAAACAATATGAAGGATCGGGAGGGAATGAGCAAGGATTGAATGAACTTACTAGGTTCGCACGATTTATAGGCAGCCATAAGAATTATTAAAGGGCACAACGATTTAAATTTGAAACGGTGCGAAAAGGTGAAACGTTTCGCATACGCCATTAATATCACGGAATAAATGAGATTGCGACACGTCGCGAAGTGAAGTCATTGTCGGCCATGGCATCTGAAAAGGCACGCCTTTTTATGAAACATCATTCAATTTACTTCCATCAGACCGTTCGCCCCGATTTAGTCACTGAAACAGCTTCAGGAAACACGTTCCACCTAGGTCCGTCCGTGTGACCAAAAGCTGGGGGCCTTTGTACGGGGTAGGGACCGAACGGACAGAAAAATTAAATGGAATGAAATTCTATTCGGTTTCGTGAAGAGAAACACGAACGAACGAACCGAATAGAAATGGAGACCGAGCGAGATACAGATGGCGTGTCCGATCAGCGCTAATCATTACCAGGATTTGACCGTACGATACGCATTTAATGCAGCAGGATCCGGTAATCGTCCATCTAAGGGTTTTTAACAAGTAGAGACACGTGTCACGACCCGGATGAAGCAACTTTATTGAGATGAGATTGTGTAGTACAATAGCATTAAATGTGGTGTGACTAAATATCAATTAATATCTTGTAAAGGAAAATGTAAGAGATAATCCCCAAAGCGGATTGTAATAGGTCCTCAAACTTCCTATATAACGGGCAAGAGGCAACATTAAATGCAATGAGTAGATGCTCTCATTAATACTCTAAAAGTCACAGATAGAGCTTACATTCGTATTCCTTTTCATACTGAATACCATATAAATTCCTGTTTGTGCAGACCGACCCGAGTATACATTTCAGTATACAGTTCGAACACATTGTTGGTCATTTTTAGACATCAACAGATGGGTTGGCTGGGGTGTGTGGTTTTAGTTCTAGTGGGGCCCGCAAGTTATCAATTGTTTGTGTGTGTTGTAATTACTAATCTACACTTAATGAGTGTGAAAAACTAGTATTTTTTTAGTCGTTGGATTGTTCAGTTTGATGGCTAAGACTTATTTTTTTTCTTTCACTGAGCACTATTCTCACTAGAGCGCGGCCATATATATATATATATATGAAGTTTTCATACATATAATATGACATTTGTCCAAATAAAAATTGTTAGACTTAAAAAAGTAGCGTAAATTAATGTCTAATTACCAATGTTTTTATATTTTATATCTATTATATAATCTCTGTCATAATGTCTAATGTTTTGCAAGTTGTAATACATATTATCCATTCTTATTTTGTCGTAATACATATTATACACATATATATTACTAATATTTTTTTTAGACTGTAATACCGATTATTCACCTGTAATATTTTATATATTTTTATAAAATGCTATTTGGGCAATTTTTTAACATATCCTATAGATTAAGGTCTCTTACTTACAAAATAATTTAGAAAAACTTTATGTGACCTCACATTTATTAAGAATAATATATAATATTTTAGATAATTTTACATATGTTATATAAAATTTTATGTATTTTTAATATTTAAAAAATATATATTTAATGTTCTTTTATATAATAAATAAAAAAGTATAAAAATATTAATAAATATTATTTAGCTAATCAAGTCGATATTAAAATGATAAACTAAGAAATCATTTGTCGAACTGTCATGTAAATTATCATATGATAAATAAATCATTCCGATCTTAGGTTTCTATTTATGTTCCAGAGGCGTCAGTTCCTACTTATAGTTTCGTATGAATGACGATAAAGAAGAGTCCAGTTTTTAGTCATGACCAATTACATGTTGTTGTTTCATATGTAAGTAATTGCAATAAGCTGAAAATATTATTCGTGGGAGAATGAGTTGCGCAGTAATCAAAATAATAATGTTGTATACAAGAAATTTTTAATAATATATTATTTTTTCATGAGGAATATTTTTATGATTTGACAATTTTCCTACGTACTTTTTTATTTGTTACTACATTTCAGTTTATCCTATTTTAATCTTTTATTTATTAATTTATGCTTCAATTTAAAATATATTTTAAAAAAAAAAATATATATATATATATATATTAATTTATGCCCAACCACCACCTGTACTTTTCAAAATATTACACATTAACCAACTTACACTTAGAAGAAAAAAATAATAATAATAATAATATTTATGTATATATGTGCCCAACCACCACCAAAGATGTGAAAGTCCGAAAGAGTATCTTCAAAGTCCAAGATCCTTGAAGAATTTGACTGTTGTAAATCTCACTTACCGATTGTAGGCGGATTTGCCCAGGAATTTAATGCGCAATCTTCGATTGCATTACCTTTTCTTAATTATAATGGTTAACAACTGCACATACCATTTGTTGTAAAAAAAAGGGTGAAAAAACATATTCTTACCAATGAAAAAACTCAATTTTTACTTAATCCATACTCAAAGGCTATGTTTGCTAATTTAATAAGCTAGTTTATAGCTTATTTGGTTAGCTTACAAAGTTATTGTGTTCAAATAAGATTCGTTTGATAGGACAAGTTTTTTTAAAACGATCGAGCTTATCTCATAAGTTTTTTGAGTAGCTTTTCAAATAAGTCCATTGAAATTTTTATTTCAGTTATCTTACCAACTAATTTATCAAACAATTTTATTATATAAGCTACCGCTTTAGCTATGAGTCATAAGTTATAAGCTCAAAAATCACTTATATGCTATAAGTTAGCTTTCCAGCTATCAACTAGTTTATCACCTAGTTCATTGCGCATTGATATTTTTCATTTTTTATTTTTTTGGCGTTTCATGCCAAAAGAAATATTTTTCCCCTTCAAGTTTTTAAACTAAATATGGTATTATTATATATACTAATAGTTAATTATGTGCACAAGCACATATGCAATAAAAATTATATATTATATTTATGTATATACTTTTAAATATATAAATTTGATACTGAATATTTCACATTTTAAATTTTTGACAAATTAGCCAAAAATGAATAATAAATATATAATTTTATAACTTACACATGAATGACGATATATATGACATAAATTATAAAATAATATAATTTTTATAACATTAAGAGATCGTGACTAACTCATTGGCAAGATATTATTATTATTATAGCAATTATTATTATTATTATAGAAATTATTTTTATAATGTTAAGAGATTTGGTTATGCCACTAAAATTATTTAGACAATTTTAGAAAAAGTAGATCGCTTAATAAGAATAAAAAATAATATTAATATTAGAATAAATAGTTATAAGAAAAAATTTCAGTAAAAATACTTGATAGGTTAGTAACTTCCTTATATTTATATTTATAGTTAGCTAGTACTATTATATACTAGAATAGTTAATAAATATTATTACACTTAAATTGATATAAAATGTAACTGCTAGTTTAATTATTTAACTAAAATGTTATTGTTGTTAATTATNCGACCAACACCGACTTCGACAATGAGTGAGTATTTCGTGGCTTAATTTTGTATGCTTGACTTTGTTTTTCTTTCTTGCTTCTTTCTCCCCGGAGTCGGCGACGCAAAACACTTCCTCTTATTCTTCTTTTCTGCAAAAAACCTAAAAGTTTCCCCTTTACCTTCAGTGAGGCCGACAGATTCTCCAGCAAGGACAGATTCTTCAGCAAAACTAAGAACACCATGCATGTATTCGATATTGCAAAACAATCATAGCAGACAATTATAGCATGTATTCAAGCGGCAGTGAGTTGCAAATAATTACAATCAATGTGCGGCAATGGTTTTCTATTGTGCAGAATTATGTGCCGCGATAATTCGTAGCATGACCACAAACTTTAATCGGCAAAATAATTATGCAGTAACACATGTTCTGATACCACATGTAAGAAATTTAACTGGCGTATTCAGCAGAATTGAATGAACACTAAACATGTAATTCTATCAATTCATAGAATATAGATCTTTGCATAAATTAAATTGCACATAGAATTTACAAGAATCCAGCATTAGTGTTTTCTTGTACGTGAGATCGTGTTGCTCTCCAATGGTATGTTTCTCTCTCCCGCGTCTCTTACTTTTCACATAGCCTTTGATGTTGAGAACTTTATTAGTGGGGAGAGAGAGAGAGAGAGAGGCTAGTAGTAGTATAACTAGAAGGAGACTTAGAATCATAATCCTACTAACATTTCTAATTTTCTAATCTAACTTAATATTGTCCAAGTCAAACATCACAAATTGGACTCTTTAATATTAGAACATTAATAATCTATTAAATACATATTCTCTTTAATTAAGTTTGACTACTAATTCAATTAAATTCAACTAAGTATATGGTCCACAATTGAATATAAAATATTCTGACAATTAATTAATCAGGAAAATAATATTAGGTGGGGGCCCACCATCCTCTCAAGCCTATAAATTGATGCGCCTCCATGAGCGTTTCCACACAAAAACAGAGTTGAGTTGTTGTTTTCACCACTTCGTCTTAATCTACTATTGTGAGTTTTGTTTTCATTCAAAAGGATGGCTGGAGAAAGAGGTAGTGCCTTGGCCGCAGCTTTGGTGATGATAGTGGCCATGGCCACGATGGCTCAAGCCGCCGTGGTGACTTGGGGGATACCCCCAAACCCAGGAAGTCTGACAGTGTCACAAAGTGAACCAGTTAGTAAGTTTCATAACTAGCTAACGAGTTAACTTATAATTTAAGGATATTATATATCTCTTCTTCATTATTTATTTATAAACTATACAAACTTTTTGATTATCTTTTTTTTTTCTTTTATATAATTGAAATAAAATGAATTTTCATTATAACATCAGATATATACTAATCTTTCATATATATGTATCTGCGTTGATTGGACAATGAAAACACTAATAAGCATATTAATTAGGTGTCTCCACTCTAATTAAAAGTATTTTATATGTTAATTTCCATTAATTGATTTGTAAATTAACTTTGGATTCACTTATATTGTTTCAAATCTAAAAAATTTAATCTGGCAGCTTTCAATTTCGTGGCAAACCAACACGATTTGGTAGCTGTTAATGAGCAGCAATATAACCAATGCGACGCGGGGTCTAGTCCGACGAAAATCCCTCCCAAAACGGCGGTGACCCTAAAGAAGGGGAAGAACTACTTCATCTGCACAATCGGCCAGCACTGCATAAAAGGAATGAAGATTACTATCACTGCTACCTAATTAGTAACTGATGAATTATGAGGAATTAAGCCACTTTAGTACTTACTGTATGTGTGGGTGGCTCTCACTATCATGTCCAACTTTCTTATTTCAGACCACTCTCTACCTCTCTCTCTCCCTACTATATTATATTATGGGGGTAGCACTTTGTATCCAATAAACCATTAATCAATAAAATGACGATATTTCTGCCTAATTATTAATTAACCTTAATTTACATGTCTTACGGACCACAACATTACAATATTCCACCCAACTCCATCTTTGGAACAGCTGCAAATAAAACTAAACCAAATTGGGTGTGGTGTTTTTACNAACTCGTAAGTTATGAAAGGACCATTTCCCCTCCATACACGGCGGCCGACACTAGGAGCTCCGTCGGAGCCAGATCTCACAGCTACCTTCACCCAGCCATCCGCCGCCGCAATACCCGCCTCCGACGCCGCCGTCCGGCGCGATCACCATGCCGTTGAACATCACAACGGGCCCGGCGTTCACGGCCGCCTCTGTCAGCCAGACAGCCGCAATTCGGCACGGCCATTATGCCGTCGAGCGCCACCACAGGTCCGGCATTCGCGACAATAGCTCCTCGCCGGTGACTAGGACGTGTTTCCAGTCTGTGATGCCACGGCGGCGGCGACTCTGGCCAGACAAGACGGCCGGGCGATGGGGCGGGCGGCTGGCTGCAATCGACGGCGTGTGTGTGTTCTATGTGTGTGTGTAATGACATAATTTTTCTGTATTACTATTATTATTATTATTTGGGTGTTGGGGCTTTGTGATGAAAATTAGACAATTTTGCAGGCGTTTTTGTGCAATTTTAAAACTTTTATTAGATTGTATTTTAATAGTGAGATGGTTTTATCTATTTATTTATTTATTTATATTTATTTATTTATTTATTTATATTTATTTATATTTATTATTATATTATATTATTATATTATTTATTTATACTACTCTAAAAGGACGAGTGTTTTTGTAAAAATATGAACTACCTAAAATAACCTTACTTTGACATATTTTTAATGGCAAATTAGTAATACACTAATAATATTTTATTTATATTTTTAATTACAAAGATGAATTACCTAAAAAAACCCTTACTTTAACATGTTTTTAATGGCAAATAAGTAATACACTAATACCCATCATATCTTATATTTTTAATTAATAACTAATGCTTAATTTATTAAATACAAATACAAGAACAATACATTTCACATCTCCTAAAAATCAAACAAAATATTCACGCACCATGGCTTTCTTCCACATATCTCCCAAAAATCAACACAACATCAACCTAAACAACAAAGTCTTGAAAAGATATAGAATTGTTGTTTTAAAAAAATCCTTGTTTTTAATATAATTTTATACATTATCTTATAAACTAGCGAAGTTGAACAATTTCATTTAGCTACTTCATTATTTAAGAAAGTAAACTCTTATATTTAGAACTAGAATAGAAATTGCACTTTAGTCTAGAATATTTGGTTTGTGTAATTGTATTTAATTAATTAAATATTAAATAAGTATTAGTATATTACTAATTTGACATTAAAAATATGTCAAATAAAAAGTTAATATATTTTTTTCATAATAAATTAGAAAAAAAAAAAAAGTAAATTGTGTAATAGTATGAGAAATAAATTGTTGAATAATTATTTTGCAACCTAAACTCTAAAATACTCAATTTTTTTACTTAAAATAAGATTATTGTAATTTTATGAAATTATACTAGTACGTAACCCGTGCGATGCACGGGATGTAAAATTTGGAAGAATAATATAACCTCACGTGCATTAGGATCGAAATTGAAATCAGTAAGATACATGGGAACATTATTGAATCATAAAAAGTTCGGTAACAATCATATATTATTAAAAACCTCCTTGTACACAACATTATGAGTTTGATTATTTGGTAACTCCTCATTATCACATACTAATATTTTCAACCCCCTTCTATTATTTACACGCGAAGCAGCAACATATAATTGGCCGTGACTAAAAACGGGTTTCTTCAGGAAAAGACCAACGTGCGATAAAGATTGTCCCTAACTCTTATTAATGGTCATGGCATACGAAACCATAAGTGGGAACTGCCGCCGCTGGAATTTAAATGGAACCCTAGTATCGGATGGAGTGATATTCATCCTAGGAATCAAGACCTTCTCGTCAGCATGATCTCCTGTCAATATCTTGCATTCGAGGACATGAGTAGATAATTTAGTCACAACCAATCGAGTCCCATTGCACAGTCCCATAGAATGGTCCATATTGCGCAACAACATTACCGGAGTTCCTATCTTCAGGTGCAACTCATGGTTGGGAGTACCAGAACACTTGATGCTATTCAAGAATTCTGGCGTGTGGAGATCTGCCAAGAAATCATTTCCGGAATCCGCCTTAGAAGTACTGTCCGAGCTCAAATACGTACGACCTTCAGAAGAATTCAACTCGGACATGTATTGGTTGATGGACTCAACAACCTCCAACGTGGGAGCTAATATTGCCCTATCCTTCAAATAACTCGGATCGTCAGTTGCGTTTTTAAACATTGGATAGGTACTTTCTACAATCGTAGCAATTGGATCATCTGAGGGATCCAATCTTATATCATCTGGAATATCGATTGCGGCACAACCATCATTTGGTCCTCCTATAGTACCATCTCCAATACTCGCAATCCAATCCGCAAATGCAGCCACCTCGACACGCTCTTCCGAGTCAGAAATGCTATGAAGACGCATGTTTTTGGTAAGCCGGAGCACAGTACAGTCTGTCCAAATGCTGGATGCATTAATAGTTGCGTTGACAATGTCCTGACGGCTCCCCTTTGGAATGACTGGAAGAATCTGTCTGAAGTCTCCACCAAAGACAATCGGCTTGCCTCCAAAGGGCTTGCTACTATTCAAAGGGTCAACTGCGCCCATTATAGACTGCAGTGATGTCTGAACTGCTTCAAAGCAATATTTGTGCATCATCGGCGCCTCGTCCCATATGATTAGAGAGCAACGAATTATTAGTTCCGCAAGAGGACTTGCCTGATTGATATCACACGAAGAATTTTCATGAATACTCAACGGTATTCGAAATCGAGAATGTGCAGTTCTTCCACCGGGCAATAAAAGCGATGCAATTCCACTCGACGCTACGCATAGAACAATTTGACCCTTCGACCGTAACGCTGCAGACAGAGTCCTCCACAAGTAGGTCTTCCCAGTACCACCATAACCGTATACAAAAAATACTCCACCGGCTCCTGAATGAACAGCGGACATAATTCTTGAATAAACATTTTTCTGCTCATCAGTCATTCTCCGAAGAAGGGATTCATGCTCCACAGCCATTTCATCTCGATCGTAATTAAGCTCATCCAATATAAGGCGATTTGAAGTGTTATGCATACTATCTCTGTCTGGATAAGGCATGGATGAATAATCACGAAGACTTGCGCCTTGAATTCGCAACATAGTCTCAATCTCAGCAAGTGTCAGATTCTTGATAGCATCTTCACTGAGCCGCAAAGCTAAAATATTTTAAATATATATGAAAAAATTAAAAATGATAATAAACTTAAAGATTAATTGAAAATATATAAAAAGAATATTTACCATCGTTATTGAACAATCTTCGTTGTCTATATAAAATGTCATCAGATAAAAATATCCAGCAATGTTTCCATACGTCATCTGGTCTACCCATAGAACCGGAAACCAACAATGACACAAACATACGCCTAAGAGACTCCGCAGATGCCCAATGACTTGCTTCGGTTATACCGTCTATGAACTCTTTGTCGTCATCCAACAATCCGTGTTCGTAGCAAGCATCTCTATAATTAAGATACTGAGTTCCGCCAACTTTCATGTAGTCCTCGTGGCATGTAGCACCGCGAACAACAGTTAACAGACATCTCAAATAGTAGTTATCTCCGCAGCCAGGGTTCACGTAGTGTAGACGGCCTATTGTACCATCTTCCCTTTTTCTAGGCCTCCACTCTCTGTCGGTTGCGTCCCAAACAAATTTAGACGGTGCCTCAACATAAGTAAGTTGTCGAGCTGCTGGATAAATCTTATTCGCCTCGAACCATGCAAGGAATTGGCTCTCATTGACAGTTGGTTTGTTCAAAACATCCTCTAAGTCATCATCATCTTCGAAAATAATGTTCTGTTGCCCTTCAAGATGGAATTTCAATCGTTGTACTGCAGGCCTCTTGTACTGCAACTCAAAACCAAGCAACCTCCAAGCAGCTTCACAGGAGGACACATAACGACAATCATAGTACATGTTGATCTCATCCAAAGGTTTTTCAACATCTCCATCTTCAGAACTCTGATAGAATGAGGCGGTTACACGATCATTTCCTTTGTTAACATACTTGAATAAGTACTTTATGGATCGTGATTGATTGCACCACTCAACATTAACATGCGCTCCATATTTCATCAACAAACGACGATTGTGAGGCACAACATAACCATTATTGAGAACGACACCATTCTTCTCAATATGCTTACCATCATCTCGACGCCTGTACCGTGGATACCCTTCCTCATCTACAGTAGTTGAATCGACAAACTTTTTCGGAAATAGTTTGCTGCATGTGCCATTGACCATGCACGGTGAGTTTGGTCGTGCTGCACCACACGGTCCGTGCATCATATGATCCCTTACAGCTTCATAATACATCAGATCGGACGTCTCATCTGGTATCTCAGCAGATATTATCCTATCAAGGTCAGACGGGTCGGGAAACTTATTCTCCTTGGCAAGGAAAAGCAGAATGTGAGCGTGCGGCAGCCCACGCTTTTGGAATTCAATGGTGTAAACAACTGAAATATATACAAATAACAGACATTAACGAATCATGTAGTAAATATAATTAATATTTGATTAATATTCAAAATATTAAAAAGTATTAACTATTAAATTAATGCAAAAAAAACATAATTAAAGAAAATGTTTCACCTGCAATAACCTTTCCAAATATTTTTTTCTCACGAAAATCCTTTATCATCTGCTTCAGTTTTGCCCTAAACACTCTGCAAATGATATCTGGTCGGTCCTCAGCACGCAATTTCCTCGGTTCAAGAAAACGACTAATCTCCGGCCAGTTTGGATTGCAAGTAAAAGTGATGAACAAATCAGGATATCCAGCCCATCTACAAATTGCCATTGCATCCTGGTAATTTTGTATCATATTTCTTGGACCTCCAGTGAATGAAGAAGGGAGAATAATACGTTTTCCTCGGGAGCTGGGATCAGTATCGCCACGCAGCACAGCGTCCGCCAAACCCTTATACATCTCACA